AAATACAAAGAAGACTTTTAAGAAACCTGAGGCCAAGCCATCTTGGTTTTATCATCAACAAGATATTCTGTTGATTATATGTCAGACTAAATCTCTTCTATAAAATGCGAAAGCAATTCCTTTAATAGAAGATATGAATATCTGGTATGGTCGCAATCGCCTAGCGATCTATATAAGTGGAGTGACCTCATCGCAACTTGGTCTTGAGTGAGGGTGGCTTAATAGAAAGCACCTAGTCCGAAGTCGTCTGCCATAGTAGTTGTTATGATTCTCCGCATAAGACAGTGGACTTGATACATTCTCAAACGTTTCGCTGGTATCGTAGTCGGCATCATCAGGGAGTTTTACCATTCGCCGCACCAAGCTACGAACTCGTCAAAGAGACAAGTGAAGTCAATCCCTCAAAAAACGTTCTGCCGAAAAAGGTTACACTATCACTCCTCTTTCTGACCTGGCCTATCTATCTACTCTTTATTCTCTTATCCCACTGCTGCCTCATCACAGCTTCTCACTTGTTTACATTCCACTAGTCAAAATGTTTACCCTTTAGGGCAAATCTAGTCTGGCCCCATCACACTTGCTAGTTACACCGACCCCTCTCTTTCTATCGGCTTATCCGACTTAGGCTTCCAATCCGGATCCCTTCATTGTCTCGTAGATCGGTTCCTTATCTGTCTGGTTTACCGATTTTACTCGGTTCCAGGCCCAGTGTGCAATTTACTCCATGTGCTATTTCTCAAGGCCCTAGAAGCACGTACACTGCCGCTTCACTGAGCAGAGCGCCTAAGCCCTGTAGATAAAAGGCCTCTCCTTAAATAAACCCATGTTATCTAAGCTGTGAATGCCTATCTCTGGTCGCATGCAGTATCTCGAGTGGACTTCTAGTGCATTTTAGGCTAAACGCCGAATTTCCCTGACGGTTTGCTTATCCGTCTGCCAAGCTCTCTGACTACCAGGCCCCCAAAGTTGTACTGGTTTATTCGAAATAAACATCAATCACTGACAACGCCTTCACCTTATTTCCGATAACTCCTGCCCTCACTATCTTCATCGCAATCCCTTTCCTTCGGTTAGCGGCAGATCCATTTCCCTGCAGAGCCCCTGATGTTCCTTGATTCGTGGGCTAATTTTTCTCCTTGTTTTGCCAACATATTTATGTTCGCAGGCGCCGCATGATATACAGTAAACTCCTGAACAACCCTATTTGTCTTCTCTTTAATGCTTAGTTGGTAGACTTGTAAAGTGTTGATCTCTCCTTCATGACCACGTTAATATTCCATGTACTCAATATTGAGTTAGTTTGAAGAAAGGTAGGCATATGCACTTTTGTGAATCCTTCATCGTCCTTACTGTCCTTTCATAGTCCCCGTTCTACCATCAGGGTAGCAATTGCCGATGAATATCCCGGTCAATTTGTCCAGCTCCTCGTCTCAGATAGTTTCGTTTTCAAGAGTACTACTAGATAATTCATATATAAAGTGTATTTAATCTATTTGTTTAAGATGATAAGGCAACAGAGTTTAATTTTCGAACAAACATATAGGTAGAAGGAATGAAGACCAAGATGGCGTGGCTTTTTATGTGCTCGCAGTGTCCTTTCGTTATATAGAGGTTGTTTGACCTTGTTTTCCTAACTTGGTCATATTGGTAGGAAGACTTAGATGAACGCGCCTAGTCCGGAGTCCATTGTATGCATGATCATTTCTAAAGTCGGAATGTGGACGTGGTACATTCCCAGACGTTTCGCCGGCATCTTCAGTGAGTTCGCCATTGTCAGCACCACATAACAACTCGTCAAAGAGACAAGTAAAGTAGATCCTTTGGCCAAACGTGTGTTAAACAGTTAGGGCATCTCCCCCTATGCCGTAGGCTATTCATATTTCCTATATCGTCTAATCACACCTTAACTGTTACAATTTTTTTCTTTTCCCTTGCTTATTTAAATCTAGTATGGCGACCTTTTGAGCGGCTTTCAAGAGAATCCTTCACATTCCACGCTGGCGTTTTCACCCCCCTTTACCCTTGTGCTGGGAATGTTGATTAGTCTACCATATTGTTACGCAGTCCTCCTTCCCTAGGTATTATCATTGTCTCCCTCTTGCCCCGTAGAATCCGTCTGCTAACGCCCTGGTTCAAGCATTTCACTCGACCTCTGCCAGCCCATCTGTGCTACTCGATGCGTTATTTCCTACACTCTAGGTCTGAGTGACTAATTAGAGGCTAAAGCCTGTGAGTAAGTCTCGTGGTCACGCTTTTGCTACATGGAATAGGTCTATGGTAAAACCTACTGTCAGCCAATTAGCTTCAGTCTCCGCCGCGTCTATCCTGTTTCTATTCCTAATACCAAGTCTATGACTTCCCCTGCCCTAGTCTCTTGTGTACCAACCCATAAATATTGTGGTTCAACATTGAATTAAATCAAAGCAAGCAGTACCACAACATTTGTGGGTTATCACACAAGAGACTATGGCAGGGAAGTCATAGACCTGGTATTAGGAATAGAAACAGGATAGACGCGGCGGAGACTGAAGCTAGTTGGCTGACAGTAGGTTTAACCAGAGACGTGGTCCATGTGCCAAAGGCGTGACCATGAGGCTTACTCAGAGGCTTTCGCCTCAAATCAGTCACTCAGACGCAGAGTGTGGGAAATAACGCCTCGAGTAGCACAGATAGTGTGGCACAGGTCGAGTGAAATGCTTGAACAAGGGCGATTGCAGACGGATTTTACGGGGAAAGAGGAAACCTGTGGTAAGACCCAGCGAAAGATGACTTCGTAACAATATGGTAGACTCTGATCAACATTACCAGCACAAGGGTGAAGGAGGATGAGAACGCCAGCAATGAAGGCGCGATATAAAGATATAGGAAATTTGAATAGCCCATGGTAGAAAAGGAGATACCACAACTGTCTAGCACGCGTTTGCCATTGACTGTGTGACATAAAAGATTGATAAAAATATTTTTGGAATTTACACAAGTTTAAATAAGTGACAGTCGACTGCAATTGTAATTTTATGCTTGATTAATTGGAAATCCCAATATAAATGTGATATGAAAAGGCCTAGCCTTGTTTGAAATTCGCACCTGCCCTGTGACTCATGGACACTATGAGCAGTGCTGTACCACCTTGGTTCTGATACTTAGACGTCGAAACTTTGCTCCTTTTGCTAGGAGAAATTCAATGGAAATCTAAGGCCTACTCTTATCACCATGAAAAAATTAAGCTACCAGGCCTTGACAACTAGATTAATTATAACTTATATTAAATTATTTAATATTGCATATTAAACTACATATAAAAGATTTCTAGGATCTATCTCGTATTGCTTGATAATCCAGGTGTTTACATTCGAATCCTTTTTTAATCAGAAATGTTTCTGACGTATAGTACAGAAAAATAGATAATGTAAATCATGTGCCTACTTCAAAACTGTAAATTTCCACTAATCATGAAATCAACAGAAACTTATAACGCAGTCATAAAATTTATTAATCACAGAGATGAAATAACACTATATATCAGTATACCTCTGGCTAGTGTAAATTGACCCTGAAGAAGGAACATTTAGGTGGAGCAATTTCCATAGATTTAGTATCTACAAGTCATATGTACATAGTAGAATAAAGAATTAAGTAGAGTACGCCATAAAAGTAAATGGTAAGACATCGGAGGAAAACTAATAAGCAATCAAACCAAGCTGAGACCTAATGCATGAATTTGTGGCAAATTTACATGCTATTTGTATAAAGCAGCCAAATAGCTCGACAGATAGTCCAAGTATCTTACAAGAATTAGATCAAAAGGTGATAGAATGTTAGGATATCGTCAACAAGCAGGTAAAAATCAGAAGGCAACCAGTTGACGATTATCGAATAGTTGAGAAGAGCCTTGCAGTCGGACAGGTTGGTAGCAAGTTGCCACCGAAAAGGGCAGCGAAAGGATCTTGATCGTCACCGGTAGTACCTGGGAAGCGAGGTGTAATTGGACTATGTAAGCGAATCGCTCTTAGGTGTGTATCTCGGCCGTTCTGATGGTTTGCAAGGATGGCAAGTTGAAACATAAAAAGGCGAACCGGTTGCCCATTTGGCCAAGCCAGTTTAATGGCAGTCCAGCCCCGCGGTTCACGCATTTCCATTTCAAGTAGCTCAACCAAATCATGAATATAGTTGCCAACACGCACAGCAATGCTAAAAATGAAGAAGGTTAATATTATTAATAGAGAATGGAAAAGTGAAGATAAGATGGCAAGTTAAGTTAATACTTCAACTAACGTTCTGTCCAAGACTGTTACACTATCACTCTTTCTGTTCTGGCCTATCTATCTACTCTTTACTCTCTTATCGAACTCTTGCCCTATCATAACTTTTACTTGTTTACATTTCACTCTCAGAATGTCTTCTCTTTTGTGACAAATCTAGTGTAACTACATCGCATCTGCTATTAACCCTGAAACCCTCTCTTTCGATCCGCTTATACAACTCTGGCCTCCAATCCGAATCCACTTCATGGTCCCGTAGATCCGTTCCTCATCTTTTTGGTTGACCGATTTTACTCGGTTCGAATACCAGTGTGCGTTTCACTCCAGGCACGATTTCTCAAGGTCCTAGAAGCACGTACACTGCTGCCTCACCGAACAGATTACTTAGGCTTTGATTCCCATGCCTTCAGATATCAGGCCTTCCCTTCACAGGTCCTCTCCTTTATTAAACCCGTTTAGCCTGAGCAAACTGTGGACGCCTATCTCTGGTCGCATGCGGCATCTCAAGTGGATTTCTAGTATATTTTGTCCATAACGTCGAATTTCTGTGACGGTTTGCTTATTCGTCTGCCTAACTTTCTGAATGCCAAGTACAGGTTTATTCGAAACTGCCATTACCCACCGACGTCTTCGCTTGATTTTCTAAACTCTTCGCCCCCCTTTCCTCATCGCGATCTATTTTCCTCCAGTTAGCGATAGATCCCTGATCCAGGGGTCTCCTTTTTGCTGGTCTTGTATTCTTGTTTTCTCTGAGTTTGCTTAAGT